TTCACTTACTATCCCTCCTGCTAGCTATCTTATTCCAACCTTAGGGGACTCACAGGGGAGTCCACTCTGGGTGTCACCTCAGTTTCCCGCCTCTAACGTATGGCGGGCAAGAGGTTGAGGCACTGTCCCTGTGTGCATTCCCCACCCTGCCCCCCAACCCCAAGACAGCCTGTTACTGCGGCACCAACAGCCACAGTCGCCTCCATCTGATAAGACTTATCTGCTGCCCCAGAGCAGGCCATAGCTGGCGTAAGCCCCAGGCACAAGCCTCAAGCCCCAAGCACTAAAGAAATGTACCCTTACTCCGACAGTCTTGGCCTAGTCCCGCAGACAGGTTCATAGAGGTGGCCCACAGGCTTAGGTTGAAATGTTCCTAAACCTCTGAGTGAGCCTCATTCTTCTCACCTGCAGAATGGGTACAGATACATCTCTCCTCTCCTGGCATCCAGGAAGGCTCACACACATACATAGCCCACACATAGCCTGGCACACAGTAGGCACTTTCCTCACTGAAAAACCTAGTGGGGTATGAAAACATTTATTTCCATTTATCTTGACTAGAGCTCATATAACTTGCCTGGACACTGGACTCCATAGAAGCCAAAGGCAAGCTGGATCCAATAATCTATAGGGCAGAGAGGAAGGGTGGAGGGACGACTAGTGCCTAAGAGATCCCCACAAGCAGGCGGCACACCCCCTCCCCTGCACTGCCCCACCCACTGGGGCACCAGCCACTCCCTGGGGAGGAAAGAGGAGGGAGAAGGTAGGTGGGAGGGAGGACCGGCTGGCAGGAGGGAGGAAGGGAGACTCAAAGGCCAAGGCCAGTGAGGACACCCCTTGGGATCACACTGAACTCACCACATCACTAAGGTGGCTGAACCCTCTGCATCAACTAGCCCAGGTCAGTCTTAATTCCCAAAGAACCCCCAGCAAGGCAATCCCCAAGCTTGCTGCCCGAGCCTGCTCAAGGCTTTCTGACCCGTAGCTTGCCCCTAAAATGTGGGTCATCCCCAAATTCTGCCACAGCTCTTTCTGCTTCCAACCTCCATCTCTGTTCCTAAGCCTTTCTCCATCTGCCCCAACTTCTTCCCTTTCCCTATGATAGCCATGTCTGCTGACCCCTTAACTCTATCCTATCCCCAAGGCCTAGTTTCCATATATACCCAACCCCCAAATACTGTGCCTTCATTCCCTAAGCTCTTATCTCTGTCGCAAATCTGATTTTCACTAATGGAAACTTGTCTCTGCCTCTCTGTTCTCCTGCAAAAAAAACCAAACCAAAATAAAAATCCTCACTTTGGCTTCCCCAAGATTCATATTTCTGCTCCCAGTGAACACCTCTGTTTCTACTCTGTTCTTTCTGGCTAACCACAGCTGTCTCTCATGTGTCAAACCCTAGCTTTACTCCCTATTTTCATCGTTGCCTTTTAGACTCCATGCTTACTCCCTGGGTCTTCCCCCTACCATTGGCCAAGATGTGTTTGTTACTTTAGACCGTAAGTTCTCTCCTGGCAAATCTATTCTGTCACAATGACCCTTGTGCCTGTCTTCCCTAAGGCCTAACTGCCTACCTAACTTCATTATTTCCACACTTTTTCACTCCAACCCCATCTTGGCTTCTACCACTCATCTTGTGTTCCCAGAATTCATCTCTAGACATCAGCTACAAATCTGTCTGGCCAGGTCCATTTCTCTCCTAAACCCAGTTGTTGCCCAGTAAAAAGAAAAAAAAAAAATCTTAGCTCTCTCACATTTTACCATGACCCCCAGAACCCACCTCTAACTTTTAAACTGCATCTCTAACTTTGCAGCTGACTGTCAAACTTCACCTCTGATTCCCTAACCTCATCTGTTTTCTGAACCCAAAATGTGCCTCTGAACTTCTAAGCTCAGCTCTACTTCTGAAACCCAGTATTTCCTTCTGCTAAACTCCATAACCATACTCAAACTCTACCTCTAACCCCGAAAGTCCCACATCTGCTCCCCAGATCCTGCCTCTGCTCCTTGGCCCCATAGGAGCCTTCCTGAGGGTTGGGTAGGGCTGTTACCTGGGGTGAGGGGCTGGGCCCAGAGAGAGTTGAGGTGCAGCTGCTGTGCCTCCTGGTTAGGGCAGCACTTTCTCTACTGAGGCAGCTGATAAGGAGTTCTCATATCCCCCAGCCTTGAGATAAACTTTATCTCTGTCTGTAGAGTGATAACTGAGGTGGAGGGTGGGCCCTTGCTACAGGAGGGGTGGGCAGCTCTGGACCCACCAAGGTGAGAAATACAGGGGCAGGCAGTGAGGCCAGAGGGAAAATTGGAGGGTGGGTGAGGAGATGAAGAATGGTGCCAGGAAGAGAACAGAGACATTGTAAGACAGAAAAAGAAGAGAGGTACAAAAAGGGAATGAAGGAACAAGAGACACCAAGAGAAAAAGAGGCATAAAACATGAGAAGATGATGCAGAGACTCAAAAAGAAAGATAGGGTAACAGCAATCACAGGAGGGGGAAGGGGAGAGCCATGGGCAGAAAACAAGAATGCAGAAACAAAGGAAAAGTGGAGGGAGGGAGAATGAATCATACAGAGATAAGAATTATACAGGGAGGAGAGAGAGGGAAGGTTAGCTGCTGGTCAAGAGCAGATACTGTCCAAAAAAGTGGAAATTCTGAGGTCAAGAAAGTGATGGTGTAGCCAGGTGTGGTGGCCTATGACTTTAATCACAGACCTTGGGAGGCAGAGGCAGATGGGTCTCTGTGAGTTCAAGGCCAGCCTCATCTACAGAGTGAGTTTTAGGACAGCCAGGACTACACAGAGAAATACTGTCTCAAAAGAATAAATAAATAAAAAGAAGGAAAAAAAATGGTGATAGGGGACACAACTATGAGCTTTCTTATCCCTGGCATGGTCCCCAACCCTGGGCCCAGCCCTTACTGATTTATCCAATGGGTAGGGAAGATGGTATTATATACTCTGTCTACCACCCCTCTGTACAAATAGGGCCATCAATCAGTCAGGGGTAAAGGTAGGTTCTTTGACTCCTCCTGAGCTATGTGTAGTAACATACATTTAGGGATATAGCAATAGTAAGAGAGAATCCATAGCTCAGAGAAAGAATAGGAAGAAGAGGCCTTGGGAGGCAAAAAGAGATACAGAGTTTATCAAGATTGAAAGACATTCAGCAATATGAGTACTGAAGAAAGCAAGATTAAGAAGAACACAGAAGGCAAGCCAAGAAAGACACAAAGACGAATATAAATGAAGATGTAAAGATATTAGAGAAAGATATACATGGATGGCCAAAAGAAGGTAGGGGGGAAAACACAAATTCATAAAAGCACAGAAAGAGAGGCAAGATACACCCTAGAAGTCCAGGGAGGTGACTCAAAGGATAAATTACTTGCTGAATAAGTGTGAGCCCACACTGACATGGTAAGGACATCTGTAGTCTCAGCATACTTATGGGGAAATGGGACATAGAGGAGAATCATTAGAAGCTCATAGGCTTATCCTGATGTACACGGTGGAAAAATATGAAACCCTGTGTAGTTTGTTTTTTTTTTTTAAGGTGGAAGGTGAAGACCAGGACCCATGGTTGCCTCTGACCACATACACACACACACACACACACACACACACACACACACACACACACACACTGCATAAATACACAAGGATAAAAGCTTTGTTTTTCAATGGTAGAAGCATGGAAAGATGTAGGAGAAACAGTCAGTCCTGAAAGGAAACAAGGAGGAAGAAACTTTACCAGGGAGACAGAGCTAAAGAGGAGATATGAAATATAAGGCAGAGGGAAAGTTTCAGTGTTTAGCTCTTAGCATACCACCTACAATATAGCAGATGAGGAAACTGAGGTCTGGGAGTAGCAAGACTTAATGGTTTCTGAAAACAGAGCCTTCTCCCAGGGAGGGAGGATACCAGGGTGGGAACACCTCCCACCTGTCACTCTCCTCAGAGGAAGCCAGTAGCTTTGGGGTGATTTCAAAAGTTGGGCGGGGATGCAGAGATAAGCAGTGTGGGGGCTGGGGTACTGACCCCCCTCATAGAGCAGGGAGGAACTAATGGGGCCCTCTGTCTGCAGACACAACTGAGGTGGGGGAGGGGAATAAAGCCGGAAACCACGGGGTTTCTGAGAAAGTCAGATGGCAAGATACAACAGATAGGGATGAAGTTAGGGAGTGCAGAAGGGTGAACCCCAAGGTCCTGAGGGAGTTCTAAATGGGTCCAAGGGACTTTGGTTGTGCACTGTGCCTCTACAGAAGGAGCGAAAGGAGGGGGAAAAGAGAATAAAAAGAGGAAATAGAGGAGGAAGACTTGAAGAATGAAAGAAAGAGAAGAGAAGGCTTGAAGGAGGAGGAGAAAGTGGAAGGTTAGAAGGTAGAGAGGAGAATAAAGAGGAGGAAGGAAAAAGGAGCTACAGAAGGAAAGAGAAGAGAGGAGAGGGAAGAAAAAGGTTACAAGGAAGGAGGCAAGAGAGGAAAGATAGAACAGAGAAAGGAAGGGGATAGAAGACAGGAAAGAGGAAAGGGAGAAGAAAAAGGAGAAAGAAGGCACAGAGATGGGAGATGGGAGGAGGCATAGGAGGACAAGAGGAAGGAGAGAAGAAATAAGGGGCAGGAAGATGAGAGAGTAGTTGAGGGTGGAGGGAAGAAAAAAGTGAAGCAATAAGAATTAAAGAATGGGAAAGAACTCAAAGAAGAGGGATAGAACGTGAGGATGGAAGGAGAGACTGGAGAAAGACACTGGGCAGTCATAGTACACTCCTTTAATCCCAGCAGAGGCAAGTGGAACTCTTTGTGAGTTCAAGGCCAGCCTGGTCTACAGAGTGAGTTCCAGGACAGCCAAGGCTACACAGAGAAACCCTGTCTCAAAAACAAAACAAACAAAAACAAAAAAAGAAGAAATACAGAATCCCAGTTGTCAGGCTTAGAGAAAGGGGGGAGGAAAGAGGATTTCTGTGTCTCACAACCCTTCCTGTCCTCACAGGTTAAACCTCAGTGTCCCCATGGATTTTCCTGGCCTAGGAACCCTGGGGGCCTCAGAAACCCTGCCCCAGTTTGTGGATTCTTCCTTGGTGTCCTCAACACCAGATTCAGCAGGGTTCTTCTCCTCTGGGCCTGAGGGTTTGGATGTGGCAGCTTCCTCCACTTCCCCAAGCACAGCGACAGCTGCAGCTACCACACTGGCCTACTACAGGGACACTGAGACCTACAGGCACTCCCCAGGTAACTATTGGATATCTGCCTTGGCAATGGCTGGAAGCTGTTAGGGTTGCCATAGAGATCATTAGCTAGCTCAGAATTCTACAACATAGCCATCTTGGAAATAGTTAGAAGCTCTGTATGGATGTATTCACCCATTTGCCCTAGGAACACCAGTGCTCCTCTTTGTCTGCCATACAGGAGTGACCACACTGAGAAGCAGGGCTGCGAGTGTGCACTAGCTGCCTTAGTTGTCAGTTGGCCTGCAGCTTCCCAGTCACAGCAGTAGTCATACAAAAAGAGATGGAGGGTCTTGTTGCTATAGTGACCACAAGACCTTAGAACCCAGCAGTAAGAAACTGTTGTGGGAAGACTGGAAATAGTCAATACATTGGGATTGATGGACACTATTGTACTCTAAAAGTAGGATTACTTTATAGGTTTATTGCTCTCTTTTCCTCTTTCCTCCCTGTTCCCTCCTCCAACAGTCTTTCAGGTGTACCCACTGCTCAACTGTATGGAGGGAATCTCAGGGGGCTCACCTTATGCTAGCTGGGCCTACAGCAAGACGGGGCTCTACCCTGCCTCAACTGTGTGCTCCAGCCACGAGGATGCCCCTTCCCAGGCTCTGGAAGACCCAGATGGGAAGAGCAACACCACTTTCTTGGAGACCTTGAAGACTGAGCGGCTGAGTCCAGATCTCCTGACCCTGGGGACTGCATTGCCTGCATCCCTCCCTGTCACCAGCAGTGCTTATGGGGGAGCTGATTTCCCCAATCCTTTTTTTTCTCCCACTGGGAGCCCTCTTAGTTCAGCAACCTATTCTTCCCCCAAGTTTCACGGAAGCCTACCCTTGGCCCCTTGTGGTGAGGCTCTCAAAAAGGGACGGACAGGGTGGGTTGAGTTGGGCTAGGGAGCTAAAGGCAAGGTAAGCTGACCCTTGCTTCCTTTGCTCCCTGCTTACCAACCAGAGGCCAGAGAGTGTGTGAACTGTGGCGCAACTGCTACTCCACTGTGGCGGAGGGACAGGACAGGTCACTATCTATGCAATGCCTGTGGCCTGTATCACAAGATGAATGGGCAGAACCGACCTCTCATCCGGCCCAAGAAGCGACTGGTAAGACCACAGGTTGTCCTGACAGTTCAGGAGACTTGTTTCTTTCTGCCCAGGATAAGAGCTCATAGTCTCCCATCCTACAGGAACCCCTCCGAGTCCCTTGTTCCCCCTCCCCCATAGTACATTTGCCTTCGTATTCATCCTTTTCCCATAGGTGGATCATCTATCCCTTTCCTATGCAGGAACTCTGCTCTGGACTAGAGAACCCCGATCCTCTTTCAGACATAAATCCTGGCCTCAAATTGTGACCCTTGACCCTTACCCTTTACAGTGGGGTAAAAACCCTACCTAGAGTTCACATTGTAATCTCCCGGGATCTCTTCTTTCAGAAGTGATGGCTTCCCAAGAGATTCTTTGTGGGTGTTTGTTTTTTTTATTTTATTTTATTTTTGGTTTGGTTTGATTTTTATATGAAATGGGACCTTGCTATGTAGCCCTGGTGGCCTGGTTTTTAATTTTGTTATGGTCCTCCTTTATCTGTCAGGGTACACACCTGGCTTCCTCCAAGAGATTCTGATATGTGGTCAAAGTTGAAAACCCAAGGATGAAATAGTCACTCATAGATTATAAAATATAAACTCTTTGCTAGACAGTGGTGCACACCTGTAATTCCAGCACTTGGGAGGCAGAGGCAGGCAGATCTCTATGAGTTTGAGCCCAGCCTGGTCTATAGAGAGAGTTCCAGCCATGGCTACACAGAGAAACAGGATAGACAGACAGACAGACAGACAGACAGACAGACAGATAGATAGGATAGATAGGATAGGTAGATAGGATGGATTTCTCATCACAGGTAGAAATCCTTGCCTTCAATGTGACTCACCCCTCAGCCTTTTTCTCAGGCCCTATGAGGGCCTGTCCTGACTTCCATCTCCCCAGAGCACTAATTTCACATAACTCTGTCCCTCAGATTGTCAGCAAACGGGCAGGCACTCAGTGCACTAACTGCCAAACTACCACCACAACACTGTGGCGGAGAAATGCCAGTGGAGATCCGGTGTGCAATGCCTGTGGCCTCTACTACAAGCTTCACCAGGTGACACTATCCTTCATAGTGCTTCCTGTCCTCACACCATGCTCCCTGCTGATCTACCTTGAACTTTTTTCTTCCACCCAGAGTCTTCTTTCTTCCTTCGCCTTGCCTTCCTCTTTGCTCATCTTTCTATTATCATAAGCTCTTTCTCTGTTCCATTCTCCTCACTCTTTCCACTCCTTCCATCTCTTGCCTCTTTTTTGTCCCTCTCTTCTTGCCACCTCCATTACCTTTCACTCCCATGCTATCAGTCTTGGGTAACTCTTACCAGTCTAGGAAGATAGTCTAAGCTTAGCCACACAACCATAGGTTTCTCTGCATCAGCCCACCCTGGATAGATTACTCTAGTTGTTGACCCAATTCTGCATTCTTAAAAAAAATGGGGTTGAGAGGATGCTCAGATACATAGGCACAAAGGGCTGGGGCTGGTAACCCTGTGGTCTCCCTTTCTACAGGTGAACCGACCGCTAACGATGCGGAAGGATGGAATTCAGACCAGGAACCGCAAGGCATCTGGAAAGGGGAAAAAGAAGCGGGGGTCAAGTCTGGCAGGAGCAGGAGTAGGAGCAGGAGCAGGAGCAGGAGCAGCTGAAGGACCAGCTGGCGGCTTCATGGTGGTAGCTGGTGGCAATAGTAGTGGGAATTGTGGGGAGGTGGCCTCAAGCTTGACACTGGGCACTGCAGGTACTGCCCATCTCTACCAGGGCCTGGGACCTGTGGTACTGTCAGGGCCTGTGAGCCATCTTATGTCTTTCCCTGGACCTCTGCTGGGATCGCCTACAGCCTCTTTCCCCACAGGCCCTGTGCCTCCTACCACCAGTACCACTGTGGTAGCTCCACTCAGTTCTTGAAGGCTTGAAGGTACACAAAATGACCTTGGCCTTATGGCAGAGGAGGTGTCCCCCTTCTCTCTCTCTCTCTTTTTTTTTTTTTTGAGGCAGGATCTACAGAAGCCCAGGCTGACCATAGCTAAGAGTGACCCCAAATTTCTGATTCTCCCAAGTACTGGATTATACACATGTATTGCCATGCATGCATTTTCCTTTGTTTCTATTTTTGTTTGATTGTTTGTTTGTTTTTCTTTGGAGACAGGCTCTCCCTATGCAGTCCAGGCTAGTTTTGAATTTCCTATATAGTCCAGGCTAGCCTCAAACTTGAGATCCTATGCCTTAGTTCCTGAGTGCAGCAATTATAGGCATCTGCTACCATGCCTGTTTCACCTTCCTCTTAGAGCCACCATTCTTTACAGCCCAACTGTTTGGGCCTCAAACATCTTGCCTGTACCTTCAAAGATTTTGTAAAATAAAACCACCAAAGACCTGAACCTGGAGCCATAAGACTGTGTTTGGGCTAAATAAATGTTGGTGTCAATTAGAGTATGGAGTAGTGTCTGTGGTTCTTTGATGACAGCATCCAACTCAAATGTATGACTCTATGAGCCTGGATGAGGTGGCAGGTATAATATACTTCACACCTGAAATTCATGACACTTAAATGTAACTGTGTATTTGAAGTTTTGTGGGCGGCATCCAGGTGGCTCCATATGTCACTGTAAGATGGCATATGACTGGAAAATTGTGGGCAAGGTGGTGGGACATGACAAGGGTTTCCCCAAGCTGCAGGATAACAACATGTGGAAATGTGTGCACAATAATAGGTGATGAGACATGTAAGGCTGCAGTTGGGTGGTTGTGCACGACTCTGAGAGGCATTGAGGCAGTATGACAACACCTAAACTGGGTCAAGAATCTGATGGCTAAGCATCTGTGCAAGAACTATGTATGACATTATGAGGCACAGTAGTATGCATGGCTGTGAGAACATACATTACTTTTCTTGATGATGTTACAAAGTATAGTAGTAATGTAAATGAGGAGGATTTACTTGGACTCCCAGTTTCAAAGGGATTCTAATACATATGGCAGAGAAAGGACAACTACTTTTGGGGTGGGTCTATGGTAAGACTCCTCACACAACAGCCAGAAGAGAAAGTAGAACCTGAGACTAGAAGCAGAGAAGTGTTATAACCCACAAAGATCACCCCAACCAATCAAAACCACAACCTCCCCAAATCATGCCAACAGTTAAAGACAAAATGTTTAACTGTATGAGCTTGTGAGCAACATTTCATTTTCAAAGATCTACCAAGACGTGTGCCAACAAAAGGTCTTTGTTGTTCTGGTGATGGCAGTGTTACTCTGCCAATCTTTAAGTATGTATGTAGGGGTGTGCATGTGTGTACCATGTAAGGCGTGTCATGTCACAGTGTGTCTCAAGACTGACAATGTGAGCAGCTCTGTGTACATTTGTGGAGCTGTCAAATGCATACTTTCCCACTGTGAGGTAGGGGTCCTCCTCCACAGGAAAAAAGTCTTTTGGGGATGGGAAAGAATGTGTTAGAGTGGAAGCTCAGATGTGGTGTTCCCTGGACGTTCCTGAAAGGTATCTAGCCCTTCTTAGCTCAGCTCAGCCTGTCACCCTGTGGGAAATGGGAAAGGATGAAGGTACTGAGAGACAAAACATCTTTATCTTTTATAAGATCTATTTATTACATATACAATGTTCTGTCTGCGTGCCAGAAGACACCAGATCTCATTATAGATGGTTGTGAACCACCATGTGGGTGCTGGGAGTTGAACTCAGGTCCTCTGGAAGAGCAGCCAGTGCTTTTAACTTCTGAGCCATCTCTCCAGTCCTACAAAACATCTTTAAAACAGGATGTGGTAGCTCAAGCCTATAATCCCAGCACTTGGAAGGATGAGGCAGGGATATTGCCACTAGTTTGAGGCCTGCCTGGGCTACAGTTTGACACTGCATCTTAAAACAAAGCACGGTGTAGTGGCTCAAATCTGTAATCACACGATTTGGAAAGCTGGGGACAGGAAGGTCAGGAATTCAAAACAAAAATAGCCTCTGGAGGCTGGAGAGACAGTTCAGCCCTTAAGAGCACTACTGTTCTTCCAGGGGATTCTGTTGGAGCCCCAGCACTCATAGTTTTTCACAGTCTTCTGTAACTGCAGTTCTAAGGAATCGAACACCATCTTCTGGCCTCCCAGGGCACCAGGAATGCAAGTGGTACATAGGCGTACATGCAAACAAAACACCCATATTCATAAAATTAAAATAAAAAAATAGCTTGTGAATTTTATACTTTGTAAGCAGGAGTGCCATACTGCTAAGCACCTCTTCACACTCCTGTTAAACTGGGTGAACTGTTCCCCAAAGCAAAATATGTTATTCAATTTAATAAGCATAAGTTAGTGGTAGGAGTGACTAGCCAGATGCCTCAGCACTTAAAAGTACTCGCTGCCCTTGCAGAGGACACAGGTTTGGTTCACAGCACCCACACGATGGTTCACAAGCATATGTAACTCCAGTTCTAGGGGATCTGATGCCTTCTTCTGGCTTCCAAGTGTACCGGGCACACAGTGTACATACATACATGTAGACAAAACCCTCATGTGCATAGGTTAAAAATAAACAAGTCTTTAAAAATAAACAAAATATTTTAAAGGAAATTAGCAAACATTTAGGAGATAGCATACTCTTAAGTTGGGAATGTCCTAATACAGGTAGGTAAAGTGACTCACACAGGGCCACACAACTTCATAAGGGGTGGGACAGGTAGTTTGGTCAAAGACAGATCTCTTTTTCCAGGGTAGAGGCAGGAAAATTCTAAATTCAAGATCCTTGGCTGCCTAGAGAGTCCATGACCAGCCTGGGATATATGAACCCCTTCTCAAAACAAAAACAAAAAACAAAACAAAATAGGTGTACAAATCATTTACTGATAATAAATCATGATGATATTTATTTTAAAACAATTCTTCAGTACACATATAATTTTATCATTTATCAAAAATCAAAGCAAAATTTTATACTACCAAGATACTTATTTTTACATGAAGAATTAAATCTTGGAATAGGAGAAATGGCATTGCCAGTAAATCATCTGTCTTGCAAATATGAGGGCCTGGGTTCAAACATTCTGAACCCATGTAAAAAGCCAGGTATTGTAGCCTGCACATGTAATTGCAACAATGGTGAAGTGGGAGAAAAGAACAAGAGGATCCCTGGAGCTCACTGGCCAGGTAGCACAGCCTATTCTGTGAAGTTCCAGGCTAGTAAGAGTCTGGCTCTCAGACAAAAGCTGGAAAGTGACAAGGTCTGACACCAGAGGTTCTCCTCTGATCTCCATACTTATATAAAAGAAAAATCTTGGCTGAATATTTGAACCTGTAGGAAGTAGAGTATTTTCAACATTTTTAAAGCATATCTTGATTTTATTATCATCAGTGCTGTGAATTCCATTTCAAATAAATATGTAGTACAAAATGGCAGTATTAAGCCAGGCACAGTGTGCATCCTCTAATTCCAACACTAAGGAAGGAAAAGGCAGATGGATTGCTGTGAGTTCCAGGCCAATCTGGTCTACAAAACAAGTTCAGGACAGCCCAGGCTACAGGAAACTGAAGCACTCAGATGTCACGAGTTCAAGGTCCGCTAGGGCTACATAGTGAATGCAAATCCAGCCTGGAGATATACAGAGACAGATCTGACCACAAACACACACATACACAAAGAATCACAGTAGTTTATATTCCTTTCAGAGACTGTCCAGAATGGCTGTGGCCCTTATAAAAGCCTGTTCCCCAAAGAACCTCAGCCCTCAGCTCTCATCCCTTACAGACACCTTTTATCTGAATAGCAGCTCACCTAGGACCCTGGCCTTAATTTCATAAGACATCCCAGGTTCACATCCACATAGGAACAGCTGCCCTGACTGGTGCAGGAAGCACAGCCAGCCTTGAGACTCGATGGAACTAGACCTCTTGTTCACTCTTGAGTGTGCACAAATGTTCGCTCCATCTTCCTCCCTCCTTCTCTCTTCTCTCTCTCCCTTCCTCTCTGTCTTTCCCACTCTCTCTCCCTCCTCTCCCCTCCTCTTCTCCCTTCTTCTTCCCTCAATTTCCCCTTTTTCCCTCCATCTCCCTCTCTCCCCCTTTCTCCCTTTCTCTCTGTCCCTCTCTCTCTGTTTCTCTCCTCCTCTGGCCTCATGCAGGCCGGCTGACCAGTACTGGCTGAGTACTTCAAGTTTCCATCTAGTTTTGTTTTTCTCATCTTTTCCGAGACAGGATCTTACTCTGTATGTAACCCAGGCTGGCTTTCTGCTCATTATGTATCCCAAACTAGCCTTGAACTCCTGGCAATCCTCCTGCCTCAGCCTTGAAAGTGCTTGAACTTCAGGCATGAGCCACTACACATGGATGGGATCCCTTTCTCTAGTAATCCACCTAGGTCTGGATAGGAGCAGCAGGCTCTACCTTAGCCCATTATGAATCTCTGACCACACCCAGTAAGGATCTGCTCTACCACCCACCCAGGAAAGGGATGCCTGTCCTGATCCTCTCTCTGCGCCCTATTTTCCCTGTGGGTTTTGTCTAGATCTCAGGCAGGAACATCCCTGCATTACCACTGGACTGCCTCCTTTCCCTCCACAAAGCATCTTAAATGCAACCCACTTGGAATAAAGTGATTTCTGACCTGTATAAACCTGACTTCTCTCTATAGAAATTTTCAAATTCAACTCCTTCAAGAACTCTGATCATGTCTAGAAGCTCTTACTTTCACTGTCAGCAATAAACCCTGACCACTACCTGGCATAATAATCCTAAATTTCACACCTTACTGGGCAGTATCTGCAGGAACCCAGGCTATAACTTGCAACAGAGATTTTTTTGTTTGTAACTTGTTCAGAAATTCCTTTCTTTTTTTAAATTTATTTACTTTTTTATTTTATGCACATTGGTGTTTTTGCCTGCATGTATGTCTGTGCAAGAGTGTCCAATAT